GTCTTGGAATAAGGTCCATTTTTCTCCTTCTAGTACTAGAAACCAACACCTGGAATGTGGGCTGTTTTCCAAGAGGCTACTGAAAAGGAAATAGGATAAGGCCAGGATAAGTTAAAGGTTTTTTTCTTTTTTTCTTTCTCTTGGCTGGTCACTGTTAATTTCACCTTTCAGAGTTCTGATGAAGTTGATTCTGACCTGTTTGTTTTTTCTTTTTCTTTTTCCCAGTTCATTTGTTGCGTTTGTGGAAGAACACACTTTTGGAATTCCCTATGCTACACTATTTTCATTGACATCACTCTGCTTATTTTTAAATATGGTTTATGAGTACATTAAAACCATTTTCTAAAAATGTAAAAGGGCTGAGTATTGAAAATGTAGTAAGAAGTATAGTGATGATAGAAGTGATGTAAACAAAGAATCAGAACTATTAACATTCCATGGTTCTCTCTTCAAACATAATTTTAATAGAGTATGTTAGTGGCTAGTATAGTGTAGTTGTGAGTTAGGAATAATTGGGCTAAAAAAGAGCATTTTCACCCCAAAGCATTGTCAGTGGAGGAGATTCTGTAGATTATTTTTGTTTGTAGAAAGATGAGGGACTGTGAAGTTGGACATCAATAGATGTCATATTACAGTGGTTTTCCAAATATGTTCATCAAATTTTAACATTTGCCAAGGTGACTTGGACTAATGGGGACTGACTTGAAAGGTCACAGATGGCGAGGTTACAAGCTTCCCATGCCTGTAGTCAACCACAAGTCTCCTCTGTTTAATATGTGTATTAGGGATATATGAAAAAAAAATTGAAAATAGATTTCCATTGCTAAAAACTTATAAAAATCACAACATAGACTGACATACGAGACTGTGATCTGGAGTGGAATTAGGGTTACACTAAATTAGATTAGAGGGTTTTCCCAGACTTAATCGGATTGCAAAATTCCCAGGGACAAGGGCTGTAGGCACCATTACTTTCTAATCCTCTTAGTGTCTCACTCAAGGTAAGTGCTTTGTAAATATCATCTCAGCTATAGAAGAAAATACGGTCAGATAAGTCTGTAGAACCAGATTTTAGTGATTTTTGAAGTGTAAAAAGTGATTAAAGTTACTGTGAACAAAATGTCATCATACCAAAAAAAAGTTTAAGGAAATAGCAGGTGGTAAGAATTATAGCAGAAAGACAAGCATTAAGAAGACCAGCCAGAAAGCTACTGCTATTTTGGTCAATTCACAGTCTTAAAAAAGCCCTCACTTTTAGGTATTTGATATATTTGGGGAAGGGAATTCAAAGGGTTAAATACAATTCTTGCCCTCAAAGAGTTTCAGGTATGTACAAAGGGCTTTCTTAGAGAGGATGAGTAGGTGATTTCAAGGCGGGCCAAGACATGGAAAAACAGTCCTGGACCTCCTATCTTGAATTTTTCTGAAATACCTCGACTTTAAAAAAGGAAAAGAGGCAAGTCCATACAGCCAGAGCCAAGCATAGAATTGTAAAAACTGATTTATTATAATATATGTGACAGTAGTGTTATCTTTAAGGAGGGGGAATGAGGGAGCCTTCTCGGGGTGCTAGAAATGTCTTGATCTAGGTGTTGGGTTTCAGGGATTCATAAATTCATAATTGGGATTAATGTATTCATAAATATGTAATTTCTGTAAGTTTTATAAATTGCTATATATTTTTAAAAGTACCTTGTTAAGATATTTTGACCACTGCTCTGGGGCCTGATGCTTACAAAATGGATACTTAGACTTAAAATTTATACTTAAAATTCCTCCTTGAATATAATCATTTAAATTTTTATACCCTAAAAATCAACTCACATTTACATTTGCTTGGTTAGTGACATATCACATTAGCTTTTAGTTCTTAGGTAACTACACTTAAGAAGCTTCCCTGTGGTTACAAATGTTTCCATCTTATGATTTCCTTTCTCATCTTCTAAATGTCAAGTACAAGCTGTTCTGCTAAGGAGGAAAACAGTTCCTTGATATCTGCAGACAAACTACACTACTGCAGAGTTCAGTCTATCCTTTGGAGCAAGTGTTCCCATTTTGTGTCATGCAAACATCACTCAAAAGCAGTGAAGAAAGTTATTTCTCATTGATAACACCCTGAGGGTTGTCACCAGATAATTTGATTTGTTTACTGAGCAATGGTCCCTACATTCATAAGAAAAAAAGAAACATAACTTTGCCTTGTTAAATAGACCATAATTAATAAGAGCTTATGTAGCATGTTTATTAACTAATCATGATATAATTAAGACATGGTAGAAGAAATCTCTTGGGTTTAAAAATAGCTTTATTTAGCATACCAAAAACATAGAAACATAAGAAAAACCTTACCTAGTATAAACATAAAAATAGTTAAATACCATAATTTAATGTAAACCAGGTGTTTCAAAATGTGAAATATTATAATAAAATACATGCTATTTACACAGAACCAAGTTAAAGCAATCTCCAGTTACTATATCAGATCATCAATCTTGAAGTCATAATTAACAATGAATCAAACATTGTATCAGTATTTGTACTATTCAATAGAAAAAAAGAAATCATGTAGTTTACTTTAAATGGATATAATACATTATGACATTCAAAGCAGGGAGGCAGATAGTGCCAGTTCTAGGATTCCAGACACGACCACGGCATGTGGAGGTTTGGAAGCCATTCCACTGGGAGACCTACCATTAAGCCCATTCTTCATTTAAATGCAAACTGGTTGATTCAATTTAGTTACTGCTTAAGAAAGGTACTAAATATATCTGCAAAAATAAGCCTTTATTAAAAATGACCAAAGGCGAATGTAATATCAATCAGGTAAGAAAGGCAAAAGCATAAAAATATATATTGTTCCAGACAAGCCCCTTTAATTATAACAAATGTTAAGAAATTGTCTATAAAACCAGCTGGGGTAGCAAAGGGTTTTTAAAAATGTAAAACCCAAAGCAAAATCAAATCACCAAACAAAGCTAAGAGAACACTTCTTGAAGAAAGTGGTATTTTGTTTATCCTGTCATCACGATGCCAATGCTGCCAGGAGACCTGGGGCTGATGCCAGTTACCACTATGGAGTAGAGTGCTTTCTTTGACTAACCATCTAAAAAGCTGTGGTCATTGATCAGTTTAAGCATTTGGCTTTTGCCTCAAGGATCAACATTCATTCATATATTGCAATTCAGGTATCTCTAAGAGGCAGCATTAAATCCATTATCAGGAGTTTAAAATGTAAAATAAACTTGCAAGAATATATACTTAGTAATAGAACGTTCTGCTCCTTTGTCTAATCTTGCAATCCTCAAACTTTTGGTCTCCAGACCTCCTTATAGTCTTAAAATTTATTGGGGATCTGGATGCCAAAGAACTTTCGTTTATAGAGTTGACATCTATCTGTATTTGCCACACTAGAAAATGAAACTAAAATTTTTAAAAGTACTTATGCATTTTAATATTAAAAAACCCATTACATGTTAAGGAACATTTTTAAGAAATAGCTATATTTTCGAAAGGAGAAAAAAGGACTGTGGGAAGATGGCATTATTTCACATTTTCAACTATTTTGAGAGAGTCCGTTAGAGTGACAAGACAAATAATGTCTATTATGAAAATAGTTGTGATCTCGCAGATCCCCTGAAATCAGGCTCTGAAGGACTCCCAAGAGTTCATGGGCCACACTTTTGAAAACTGCTGGTTTAATCTTAGGCCTGATATGAATGATCTGAAAAAATCTACACAAAAAGTCTTAATTTTCCTTTTAAAATAAATCAAAATATCCACACATGCACACAGTAGTCACTGTAGCAAACACTTCCACTTTCAGCTTTCACTGGAAGTCAAAGATCACCATGTACTCATGGCCAAATTCAAAACAATATTGTCATTTCTGCTGAGACCAGGGTCAAGATGTATTTTTAGCCCATGAAAGCTACAAAACCTATTAACTAAATACACACATTTTAGTTCCCTTTGTTAACATTTGCTTGATCCTGTTTGTGCTGAGCTGGCTTATGGTCCCTAAGTTGGCACAGTCTTAGTATAGACCAGAGAATGACAGTTTAATAGACCTCACACTGATTAAGAACATGTTAGCAATTTATGGAGCAGCCTGCTCTATTTCTCACTATGTTAAAATTCTGATAAATTTTAGGGAAGAGAGGGAGAAAATTCTCCCTCAAGCACAATAAGAACAATGCTATGATCTTACACTTAGATGACTCGTCACATCTCACAAATGATGTTCACACACACCATCCCATTAGATCCTTTGAAGCCACTGGAGAAGGGCAGAACAAATGATTTTACTGCCGTGTCAGAGTTAAGGAATTTGAGAATCAGAAATGGGTGTTTCCCAAGGTACCATGGCAACTATATTGCAGAAAGGGATTAGAATTCATGTCATTTCAGTCCTAGTTCAGGATTTTCCTCAGCATTCCCTCTTCCTTTGGTTCCAGAGCAAGATTGAGGGAGAGGTTAGTGGGGATGGAGATGCCCGCCACAGTGTATGACACTTCTGAAACCTGCATTCCGTGGCCTCATCCACCATTTTACCCAACACCGAGGAGGCTTGGGAGTGGCAGACACATCTCCCTGACTGACGTAATGAATTTTCCACCAGTGCATACATTATGGAATTTCATACAAAAACAACTGTCTTACTTTTTCTTTCTGAGCCAGTTTATGTTGGCAATTCATTCACAGCCTGTTCGTTCTGCTCCAAGGGAAAAGTAAAAATACTGCAGTTAAAAAATATCTGATGAAAGTACAAGATTAAATAGCAACAATAATGACAGCTCTATGAAGTTATTATAATGAGATTTATTGTGCACCTGGCACAACACACTTAGCAATCTTCTTCCACCAACTGGAGAGCAATATAAAAATCGTAGTTCTTAATTTAATGGGAAATTGCCTCAATCATCTTGAGGCAAAGACTTCAGTCTATACAAAAACATTAAGAAAATAATTTTATTTCATAATTTTATTTTAACTAAATTCTTAGGTGCTTGAAGATTTTGTGGTGGTAGGAGAGGAAGTAGAAAGTAGAGTAAAAGGCAATGAAACAGAAAGAAGAAAATAATTATTGTCACCAAAGAGCAAAGGAGAAATCTTTATCTATTCATTGTCATTAATACCTCTATTTACTTTAGAAATTATTGTGTGGCAGGAAATCCTCTCCACCAAAATGTTAATACAAATAGCATGAGACATTCAAAGATAGTAAGCAAACACTGTTTAATTGGGGGTGGGACAGTCAACAACAAAAACCCCTCCTACAAAACTAGCCAAATGCCATTAATGACCAATAATTTTCTTGCTATACACAATAAACAAGTTACTGTTTACTGTGCCCTTCCTGTCTTTCCGAGATGTTCCAAAAATCAAGACAGACTACGTGCATTTTTTTCCTTTTAAGATAGTTGAAGAAAAAAGTTAACAAAAGCCAGTAAGAATTAGAAAACATACTAAGTTCACCTTATCTTCAAAACTTAACAGCCTATTGCTATCTTTTACACAAATTGGTGCCCCCCTCCAATTTTGGTGAGTAAGGTTCTTTTTACAGATGATTTAGACAAAAGTTAATAGCTTTTTAAGACAGTTGCACATGTGCTGGGCTGAAGTACACACATGTATATATGTATACACACATGACACATAGAACTCATCACATGAAGACCTCCACAGTTTCCCCTCTTCACATATTTCCATTAGCTAAAATGGGCACAAATAATGATTTTATAGTAGGAAATAAAACAAATGAAAATCAAAATCAGAAACTGTGAAGTGGTATGCTGTCAGAGTCCAATAAAATAAGTCAACGCACATTTATGTAGTGGTAAAGTGCTAGAAAGTTCTTTCATTAGTATTCTAAAAACGATTATAGTAAAAAGAGGTTTGCCGTTTCATTTGATGGTGGTGACCACAGGCACCATAGCAATGGCATTGGCTGAGTGGGAGTTGATGATGTCCTCATACTCCGGTGGTGGGTCTAAATGAGGTTCTGTTTCACTCCTCTGAAGGTTCACCTGGCCAGTGGCTTCCTCATAGGTTGGTGGAGGATCACAGTTGGACAGGCGAGTGGAGACAGAATCTGAACGCCCAACTACATATTCCAGAAAGCCTGGAGACATTCCACTGCTATCAAACACTTCATCTGGTGGGGGTGGCGGAGTAATAATATTAAGGTGCTGAGGGAAAGGGATGTGACTTTCGGTCACTGTCTGTCTGCGAGTTTTGTTTCTTAGGAAACATCTCCAGATTAGGAAAATGACAAGGAGAATAATAAAGAGGCCAAAGATTAATGGAAAGGTAAGGTAAAATTGAAACCAGTCACTTCCTCTGTTACTCTCTCCTTGTTGTGCTTTTGTATAGGTGTTCCAAAACTCGTTCTGAAAATAAAAGACAAAATCAATTGAAAATCAGTATGATCAAAACATAAGAAATATCAAATGTCTGGGTTCTATTAACATAATGGACAAAAACCCCAAACCAGATTTATTGGTTTAAATGACCTACAGCCAACATTTTTCGTAACAAGAAATTACAAATAAATCATGGTGTGCACTCTGGATCCTTCCTAAAATAGTCAGCACATGATTCTTTTTCAAGACTTGGACTTATTTATATCTTCAGCTATGGCATTTTATTTTTTCACTTATAGAATTTTTTTAAATCTTTCAATTACAGTTGACATACAGTACTTTATTAGTTTCAGGTGTACAACATAGTGATTAGACATTTATATAACTTACAGTGATCACCCCAATAAGTCTAGAACCCATCTGACACCACACATAGTTATTACAATATTATTGGCTACACTCCGTATGGTATACTTTACATAGCTGTAACTGCTTTGGTAACCGGCAGTTTGTACTTTTTAATCTCTTCACCTTTTTCACCCACCCACCCCCAACCCCCTCCCATCTGTCAATCATCAATTATTTCTCTGTATCCATGGGTTTTTTTATTCATTTATTTTGTTTTATAGATTCCACATATAAGTGAAATCATGTGGTATTTGTCTTTCTCTATCTGACCTATTTCACTTAGCATAATATCCTCTAGGTCCATCCAAGGGAATTGCAAGAACGGCAAGATTTCTTTCTCTTTTTTTTATGGCCAAGTAACAGTCCATTGTATATATATACCAATTCTTCTTCATCCATTCATCCATCGATGGACATTCATGTTGCTTCCATATCTTGGCTATTGTAAACAATGGTGCAATGATCATAGGGGTGCAGAAGCCATTTTAAATTAGTGTTTTGGATTTCTTTGGCTAAATATCCAGAAGTGGATTTGCTAGGCTGTATTATAATTCTATTCTTAAGTTTTTGAGGATTCTCCATACTGTTTTCCACAGTGGCTGTAGTAATTTACATTCCCATCATCAGTGTGTGAGGGTGCCCTTTTCTCCACATCCTCTCCAACACTTGTTTCTTGTCATTTTAATGACAGTCATTCTAACAGGTGTGAGGTAATACCGCATTGTGTTTTCATTGGCATTTCCTAGTAACTGGTGACAGTGGCTCTTTTTACCTGCCTGCTGGCCATATGTATGTCTTCGTTGTAAAAATGTCTATTCAGATCCTTTGCTCATTTTTTAGTCATTTTTTGTTGTTGAAATGGATGAGTTTTTAAAAATGTATTTGGATATTAACTCCTTATTGGACGTATGATTTGCAAATTATCTTTTCTCATTTGCTGTGTTGCCTTTTCATTTTATTGATGGTTTCCTTTGCGGTGCAAAAGCTTTTTAGTTTTATGTAGTTCCATTTATTTTGCTTTTGTTTCCCTTGCTATAAGAGTCAAATCCACAAAAATACTGCTGAGACCAATGTCAGGAAGCTTATTGACTGTGCTTTCTTCTGTGTATTCTTTGGTTTTGTGTCTTCTGTTCAAGTCAACACCATGTATTAAAGAGACTTTTCTTTTCTCCATTGTATGTTCTGGACTCCTTTATTGTAAATTGTCCATAAAAGTGTGGGTTTATTTCTGGGCTGTCAATTCTGTTCCATTGATTGATCATTGTGTCTGTTTTCCTGCCAGTACCACACTATTTTAGTTATTGTAGCTTTGTAGTATAGTCTGAAATCAGGGAGTGTGATACCTTTGGCTTTGTTCTATTTATCGATTGCTTTGGCTATTCAAGGTCTCTTATAGTTCTGTAATATTTTAGGATTTTTTGGTTCTATTTCTGTGAAAAATGCCTTTGGGTTTTGATAGGGACTGCATTGAATTTGTAGATTGTAGGTATTATGGACACTATAATGACGTTAATTTTTCCAATCTATGAGCAATGGTCACTTTTCCATTTCTTTATGTCTTCCTTAATTTTTTTCAACAATCTCTTATAGTTTTCAGTGTACAGGTCTTTTACTTCCTTGGTAAAATTTTCCTAGGTATTTTATTTTTCTGATGCAATTGTAAATGGGTTTGTTTTAATTTGTCTTTCTGATTTTTTCACTTTAGTGTATAGAAACATAACAGATGTTTGTATACTGATTTACCATATCAGTTTATTATTTCTAATAATTTTTTTGTGGAGTCTTTAGGGTTTTCTATAAGTAAAATCATGTCATCTGCGAATAGTGATGGCTTTACTTTTTCTTTTCTAATTTGGATGCTTTTTATTTCTTACCTGACTGCTCTATCTAGGACTTAGAATACTATGTTGAATAATAGCAGTGAGAGTGGATATCTTTGTTTTGTCCCTGATATTTTATAAAATACTTTGTTTTTCACTATTAAGTATGATACTAACTGTGGGTTTGTCAACATAGGGCATTTATTTTGTTTAGGTACTTTCCTCTATTGAGAATTTTTTATCATAAACTGATGCTGCATTGTCCAAATGCTTTTACTGCATCTACTAAGATGACATATATTATTTGTATACTTCACTTTGTTAAAGTGGTGTGTCACATTGATTGATTTGCAGATGTTAAACCAACCTTGAATCCTGGACTAAATTCCACAAGATCATGGTATATAATCCTTCTAATGTATTGTTACATTTGGTTTGCTAATATTTCATTGAGAATTTTTACATATGTGTTCATCAGGGATATTGGCCTGTAATTTTGTGTGTGTGTGTGTGTGTGTGTGTGTGTGTGTGTGTGTGTATTGTCCTTGTCTGGTTTTAATGTTAGAGTAATGTTGTCCTCATAAAATGAATTAGGAAGTATCCCTCCTCTACGGTTTTTTGGAAGAGTTTGAGAAGTATAGATATTAAATTGTCTTTTAATGCCTGGTAGAATTCACAATGAAGCCATGTGATCTTGTATTGTTGTTTTTTCGGAGTTCTTTGATTACTGTTTCAACTTTGGAAAGTTGTAGGATTCTAAAAATGTATCCTTTTCCTTCAGATTTGTAATTTGTTGGTATATATCTGTTTATAATATCTCTTATGATCCTTTGCATTTCTGTGATAGCTACTGTAGCTTCTCTTTTGTTTCTGATTTTAGTTATTTCAGCCTTCTCTGTTTTTTCTTAGTGAGTCTAGTCAGAGGTTTATCAACTTTATCTTTTCAGAATACCAACCCTTAGGTTCACTAATATTTTCTATTGTCTATATGGTGTCTATTTCATTTGTTTCCACTCTGGTTTTTATTATTTCTTTCCTTCTACTGACTTTGAGCTTCATTTGTTTTTTTCTAGTTTCTTGTGATTGTTTGAGATTTTTCTTGTTTTCTTGAAGTAAGCCTGTATCGTCATAAGCTTCCCTCTTAGTACCGCTTTTCCTGCATCTCATATGCTATTTCATAATTTCGTGTTTATTTGTCTCCATGTATTTTTAAATTTTCTTCTTTGATTTTCTTGTTGATCCATTAAGTTGTTCAGTAGCATGTTCTTTAATCTCCATATATTTTCTACTTTTCCAGTTTTCTTCTCATTTCTAGCTTCACACTATTATGGTCAGAAAACAACTTGATATGACTTAATTCTTAAACTTGTTGAGACTTGTTTTGTGTCCTAACATCTGGTCTATCCTTGATAATATTCTGTGTGCACTTGAGAAGAATGTGTATTCTGTTGCTTTTAGAGGGAATGTATATATCTATTGGGTACTAATTGCCACTTAAGGCCATTGTTTCTTTGTTGACTTTCTGTCTATCAGGAGTATCTAACTGTTTGGCATCTCTGCGCCACACTGGAAGAAGAGCTGTCTTAGGCCACACATTAAATACATTACAACATGTAATCACACAAAAAAAAATTCATAATATTTTAAGTAAATTTATCATTTTGTGTTGGGCCACATGTTGGACATCCCTGGAGGTGACCTATCCACTGATGTAAGTGGGGTTTCGAAGTCCCCCTGCTATTATTGTGTTGCTGTGAATTTCTCCCTTTAGGTATGTTAATAGTTGCTTTATGTATTTTGGTGCTCCTATGTTGGGTATCTACATAATGATAAATATTAGGTGTTGTTGGTGGCTTGTCCCCTTTATCATTATATAATGCTCATCTCTGGCTCTTGTTACCGTTTTTGGCTGAAGTCTGTTGACTACTGTTTACTTGGAGTATCACCTTCCATCTCTTTGTTTTGAGCCAGTGATTGACTTTAGAGCCCAGAAGAGTCTGCTGAGGTAGCATATAGTAGGGTCTTATTTTTTAATCCATCTAGCTACTCTGTGACTTTGATTGGTGGGTTCATTCCACTTGCCTTGAGGTAATTATTGATATATGAGGGCTTACTACTGCCATTTTATCTTTTGTTTTATTTGCTCTATATCTCCTTTTTTTCTTGTTTCTGTCTGCCATTTTAGTTTGGTGATTTTCTATGATTTTTTTTCTGATCCCCCCCTTTTTATGTTTTTTTTTTGTTTCTGTTCTAGATCTTTTTTTGTGGTTACCATGTGTTATGTATAAAATGTCCCATAGATAAAAATAGTTCTTTTTATGCTGGTAGTGTCTTATCTTCATTTGCCTATGCAGCTTCTGTCCTTTTCTTCCATCCTTTTTATGTTTTTCTTATCACAAACTGTTATTAGTTCTTTAACAAACTGAAGTAGCTATAGTTATTTTTTAATGTGTTTTTTTCCTTTAACCTTAATGCTAAACTTTAGTGATTAACATCATATTCTGAACTAGCTTTGCAGTTCTCTGATTCTCTCTATTATATTAATCAAAGTTTTATATACTTTTGCTTTTTTCATTTCAGGTGCAAGAAGTAGTTTAACATTTCTTATAAGGCGGGTCTAGTAGTGGTGTACTCCCTCAGTTTTTGTTTGTCATAGAAAGCCTTTATTTCTTCTTCATATCTGAAGGATAACTTTGCTGGATACTCTAAGCTGGTGGGTTTAAACTTTCAATAGTTTGACTATGTCATCCTCTTTTCTCCTGGCCTGTAGAGTTTCTGCTGAGAAATCTGCTGATGACC